TCACAGACGAATGCCCCATCTCAGTGCGAACGATATGAGCCATATGCGGTCGCATTCGGTGTTGATGAAAAATACAAAATTTTCAAAACTTTTTAATTGTTTTTTCTTCGAAACTGAATTTTTCCTGTACATTTAGATACGGGCCAACCGCTGGTGAAAGAATTTTTGCGCTATCTTCAATAGTTCGCCANGTAGAAATGCCATTAATTATACCACTTGAAATGAACACAAAAGACAAAACTGCGCGACTAATCTTATAAGCTTAGTTTCCATTTCAAAGACTTGATTACAACACGGTACATCAATATTTCGACAGCTATAACTTTTAAACGAAATATCCTAGATGAACGCTTTTACTATCCAAGCAGAGCACAGGATCTCTAGAAAATTTTAATAATACTCCCATCGATATCGGACCATTCAATAGGAAGTTATCAGTCATCCTGTGAACTCAGGGAAACGCCAAAAATAAAAATAGGGTAAATTGCGTGAATTTCGTGGGCTCTAGCACAGACCAGGAATGTGACAGTTCCGAACTGTTTTCGTCGAGAACATCTCCCACTTATTGGGCATCGAACGAGTCATGTTTGGTATGTATCAGACGTCAAGCTGCGGAGCTATGAATTTTCAAATGCTACCATGTTCGTAAGCGCAATATTTTCAAATTTGACTTTTCGAAGCCCGTAGCTGGAGAACGGTAGGACCTACCGCAAAAATTCTTTCACAGACGGATGTCCCGTCTCAGTGCGATTGATATGGGTCGTATGCGGTCGCATTCGGTGTTGATGAAAAATTCAAAATTTTTAAAAAAATTTATATTTTTTTTTCTTCGAAACTGAATTTTTCCTGTACATTTAGATACGGGCCAACCGCTGGTGAAAGAATTTTTGCGCTATCTTCAATAGTTCGCCAGATATGTTCTCCTAAATATTTAATTCTCGATTTTCAAAATAACACTGCCACAACTTTCGACAGTCATATCTCCCAAAGGGAACCCCGTAGGTAGGCGCTTTTGATCTCAGCGCAGAGCACAGTAGCTCTAGAAAAGTTTGATAGTACTCCCATTGCGATCGGACCACTCAGTCCGGAAATAGGGGTCATCCTGTGGCCTCAGAAAAACACTAAAAAGAACAAAAAGCAAATTCCGCGAATTGGGTCGTCTCTGACGCGGACCAGGAGTATCAGCATTTAATACTGCTTCCGTCGAAAACTTGCCGCATTCAATGCGCTTCGAACGAGCCCTGTTTGGTACGGATCGGTCGTACATCTGCGGTCATGTTCACGAGCGCACAGCTCCTAAGACTGACGTTTTGCGAGCTGTAACTGGGAAACTTCTCGGTGCGAATGATATGGGCCGTAAGCGGTCGCATTTGCTGTTGATGAAAAATTGAATATAATTTTTTTTTTCTTTTGAAATTGAATTTTTCCTGTACATTTAGGTACGGGCCAACCGTTGGTGAAAGAATTTTTGCTCTATCTTCATTAGTTTGCCAGATATGTTCTCCTACATATTTAATTCTCGATATCGACTTTGTAACAAATTCCGACAGCCATAACTCCGAAATGGAACCTCGTAGCTCCCGTCATCGCAAAATTTACATTACGTAGATCAATTTGTCACTTTTGACTTTGCACCAAGATTCACTATAATTGACATTCACACACATTGTTAGGTAAAGGCTACACCAAGTTTTGATTAATAATGTGCCAATAATGGTTACGCTCAATTAACGTTTTCAAGTAAATATCAAGACAGTATTTCTCTTTGATCAATGTATCGCTTATTTGCACATTTATTCTATCGAGCTCAGGATGGTCTAGCATGCCACAAATAATGAATAATAGCTTTTTACACCTTATTAAGAATGTGATACCTAACTATTCAGCTACGATGTAGCAAAGTTTTTCACAAAACAAAATGTTGTTGTTCCTGCGAGGTCAAACCACTTCCATAGGCTTTTAGAAGCTGTTACTCAAACAAAGGACCTTTGTACTGTAAGGAAAAGAAAAAGCCTAAACTCTTCATGTATAACGAAATCGTTTAACATAAAGACTCCTTGTAAGTTGAGCTTATTTATTTTGCCTTTTATCCCAAATACTGACTGGCTCTCTATAACGAAACGGTCATTTTCTGATACGCCACAGATTAATGAAAAATGTGGTTAATAAAAGAGAACCTTTGTGCGAACGAAAATGCTCTGACGTTTTAGTACGTCCGATACAAAAGACGGAGAATGAATACAGTACTATTTCAAATGTTCTTAATGTTTTTTATATTGGTAGCTGCTTACATTCCTATATGTATGCAGGGTGCAACTGAAATAAGTGCGGAGCTTACAGGAGGTAATAAGACTCTATAAGACAAGAAAATTAAGCACATCTTTACAAGTCCGAATGCTCACCGTTTTTAAGAAAAACGTATTTTAAATAACATGCAACAGCCACTTTGGACCTGGAGAAACCACTCAGAGAAATACCAAACGGCAACGCAGAATTCTATCAGCTGGTAATTACTTAACAGTCATTGGCACCAGGTCAGTGTATTACTGTAGAACAGTTATTATTAGCAAGGAGAGAGATATATTGGTTTCCTAGAAGACAACTCCTTAAGTGGTACACGCGAAATAGCACCGAAAGTTGGTTCCTCTCATGCGACAGTGTGACGAACTTTACAGTAATAGTTGCTGCATCCTTAACATTTGCAGCGAGTGCAAGCTTTACAGTAAACTGATAATCAGTCGTAAGTAGATTTGTGTCAACGATTTCGTCAAGAAAGTGCTTCAAATGCCGATTCTTCCCACAGGGAAGAGATGTTTACATCCTTGCCAGTCCGGATCTAACTCCGTAGGACTGGTTATATGAAAGAAGGCGTGTGCTTCTACCCTTTACTGGTGTTTTTCGGAACTAATATTTTATCAGTCATTGTCGCAATTTATTGTAGTCAAAGATTTAGTTTTACTAAATTATAACTTTATGCTTTGTTTCAAATAATTTTATCCCTTAACCAGACGCTGTTGTACTCATTTCTTATTACATATAGTTACTTTTTAATCTTCTACACTTATTTCATTAACGCCCTGTATTAGTTGTGCTCTGTCGAGTTTTCAAGTAGGTGCATTCCAAATTTTCTGGTTCTGTTTTTATGCACAAACATCGGCTACTGTCAAATGACTGCTAAAGATAAAAGCATTGTTTGCCTAGAAAATGCATCACATGCATTTGTAACTGAATCAACAAAAATTTAAGCATAAAGTAGTGCAAATTCCGTAACAATACTGCAAAAAGAGAGTTGATGTTTCATACAAAGCACAAAATATAACTGATGCTGCATTCTCGGTAAATAGCTGCAATGTTCTAAATATTTTCCAAAGTCAACACTGGAAGTTTTCTAAGTTCTATGAATATATAGGTATCCAATATTAACATAGATATACAAAGGTGCTGGATATAAATAAATAAAGCTTAACTGAATTTTCCTACCACCAANAAAAAGTATTTTTTTTTTCTAAATAAAAAGTGCTTTCTTTTTCCCTGTTCTATTTTGCGATTATAAGTGATTATTTTCAATATCAAGAAGGAGGTGAAGTTTACTATACAAAGAACATCAGAATTCACCATGTAAACAACTCTGTCAATCAGGTGTCAAAGTAAATTGCATTCTTCCTTGCAAAATTTCAACTTTCATGGTTTACATTACACGCTAGACTCAGTGATGAATGGTGCTCGTCAAAGGAAGCTGCCGTCTAAGATAATAGTCTATTTGATTAAAATTTTGATGGACAATGCATGTTGTAAATACTTGATGATCTATCTACGACGCATTTGTGAGTGACGTAAATTTTTAAAGGACGTGCAGTAAAAATATCTTGTCGATATGTCAGTTAGGTAGGCACTCTATATCCTTTATTTTCAAGATAGAATGAATATTATAAACTGAACAGGGCCGTACTTAAAACTAAATGCACTGATTTAGGCAGAAGTCACTAAACATTTATAAAACTTTGATTCTTATTTCATATAAGTTATCGGTTAAGACGGCATTGATGACTAGATCAATTGACAGTAAGAACTGTTACTTGTTCCATCTTGAAAGTGACTTAAGAGGAAATTTCAATTTAGTGAACCATGTGAACCAATAATTAATGGCAAATCTCTGCTGTGGTCTGGAACTATTAGTTTTTAACCAGTAGCAAAGTCAGTTGGTATTTCATCGGAACTGTTCATACAATGTTGATGATAAGGGTCAATAAGTTTGAAATAATGATCTTGGTCCGACAAGTTACATCTAATTCTGACCGATAATTTTTTTAAAACAGTCTTATTTAATGCTAATATTGTACAATCAGGGCAGCAACTGTACTTAGTTTTCACACATTTAATTAATGTAATTCATTAATTGAAAAGACAGAATCATATCGTTTATTTTCATCTTTAAGCAAAGGGATTAACCAGAACTCACTTTAATGTGGTACCTTGCGCTTGTTAGGGTAAGTTTTAATTGAAATCGTTTGTTGACATCTCAAAACAATGAGGAAAACTATAGATCTGCAAAACTTTACTAATAAGCTAAACTAGTGGAGCTTACGTAGATTAAATCCAATTTTAGCAAATTCGCCGGTTGTTATCTCTTGGTCTTTTGTTATGTAGCGAGACTCATTCAGAGCATGTTTTATATAACATGTGTCAGATAAATGTTGTGTAAATTAAAAACATTAACTACCCCATTTTTTAAAAAAGTAGGAAGTGATTAGCCTCATACTATCATTAGAACCATGTTTCATACTATTTATTACCTACTGTCTAAGTAATAGTATACAATTTCTTTTCCTGAATTTGTTGTTTTCATATCCTAAAAAAGAATCCACTGTTGCTAATAAAACGACAATTCAAAGTAATTTTACATCAGAAACACGTACTTGAAATGCTATTTAAAGCAGAACGAATCACAAAGTGCTATTTCTACAAATTGCACCAATATTTTGTTTTTAAAAAAAACTTACCTATACGTTATGGTCGATGAATAAAGTAGGCATGGAAATGCGAGCGCCATACTAGCACACCATACGAAACCAATCGTTATTAATGATGATGTTTTAGACATTTTATGCCGAAGCGGATGAACAATTGCCAAATATCTGCAACAAAAAGAAATTGTTTGAGATTTCGACATTATTTTCACACTAGCTGAGCCCGTCTAAGATGCATATATATATGTATATAT